CTTGCTTATGTGACAATCACTGTTGGCAGAGGAGTTGCCCACTGTATTGCTGTTACGCATGTGACAACACAGCAGCCAAGCAAAGGAAGAAGTGGCATTGGCGATCTCCAATATTTGTACAATTAAGCAAGAGGAGTCTTCGGCGTCGGCGTTATTGGTACTATGAGGAAGATGGTACCATCAAGCAGGAGGAGTAGACGCCAGCAGTGACTATATGCAGGTGATGACACCGTCAAGCAGGAGACGCTGGGCAGGTAGCACCCTCACTCATCTTCCACTATAACGGCAGTAATCCTGGTAACTCAGACTCATCTCCGAGGTTCTAGTAGCACATAGTCTTTCATCTCTCATAGCCACCACTGGCACTCTCAACACTTCTGTCCCTCGCCTCTCCCATGTAAGAGGCGCTGTAGGTGCAGTAATGCCTCCTCAGTAGCGAGACACGACTGGCACTACAGATTGTGAGTGGCTGGGTGGGACGTAATCAGTGACCACAACACAGACTACCACGCGAGTCAACAGTATCTCTCACAGTGGCTTCTACATTTACCATATCCGTCCTCTGCTATCATGTTTACTAAGCCCTCCTGCCAGAGACTTTAACACTCCTGTTTTTTTTCAGTCGCACAAGAGTTGCTTGTATGGCACTTGTCGACAGCGGGCACTATGTAAAACCATATTTAACATGACAATTGTTTTAAGGAGAGGAAATTCGTCACGAGAGGTACTTACCATGGTGACCGTGCAATACTTTCGTGTGGATGATATTATTTTTTGTGGGAAAATGTATTTTTTTTTCAGAAGTTAACACTTTGCTCAGCGCCTCCAGCTGTATCCTTTACAAACAGCTGCCCCTCTAGAGGATTACAGTGAAGACATACTCATACATCGGAAATAGCTGAACAATCTAACCGATAAAGATAAATCGGTTAGCAATAAATAGTGGCTGTATGATCATAGAAAATGGTTTGATTTAGTTGTAAGTTACCAACTCGCTTATTATTGACGCTGTTATGATCAAGACTTCTGACCACTGAGCACTCACGAACTATCTCGCAAAACACTTGGTGTTAGTGCACCCGATATGTGGCGGGCCAGGTGCTCAGTCAAGACTCTCGCAATAACATGGAGGTGACTACACAAGAGACTATCTTGAAAAGTTTCCGATTTCAAGAGGATTTTTGACACATGCTGGTAGTGAATGGTTGAGGTACGAGTGGATGGGAGTAAGAACAGTGGCGGGTTATGGGATGGGGGATTTTGTTATAGTAAGTTTCGGTGGTGGTGGCGTTGTGTGTGTGTGTGTGTGTGTGTGTGTGTGTGTGTGTACTCACCTAATTGTACTCACCTAATTGTGGTTGCAGGGGTCGAGACTCAGCTCCTGGCCCCGCCTCTTCACTGATCGCTACTGGATCCTCTCTCTCTCTGCTTGTGTGTGTGTGTGTGTTGTGTGTGTGTGTGTGTGTGTGTGTGTGTGTGTGTGTGTGTGTGTGTGTATGTGTGTGTAAGTATTCAGTTCACTCTGAAGACTTATCACTCTTGTTATTGCGTGTTTTATGTTGGCAACTCAGGGTTGTGTTCCTCTATTCATTTGTCGAACTTCTTCATAGAATTCAAAGTAATTTATTGTAAGTCTCCACCTTCCTTCTTCAGTATTATCACCAGGCCTTTTTCGTCTGTCGTTTATCTTCGGATGTGACTTTCATACAGTTTAGAGACGGATTTTTATTTTGCTACTGTGATATTCTCAAACTGTCACTCAGTTTCTTCCTCATTTGCTTCTGGCTCTTCACCTCACATTTCTGTTTATCTCTTTCCTTTGATTACTGTACTCTTGCTATGCTCTTATGTATTTACTTCTTCCTCTCTGCATGTTTAATTGAACTAAGGAATATTTTTGTTCTTACCATTTCCTCTACTGGGAATGAAGGTCTCAGCCTCCTGCCACTTCCCTGCTAGGTACTCTACCATGCAAGGTACTCTACCATGCTAGGTACTCTACCATGCTAGGTACTCTATCATGCTAGGTACTCTATCATGCTAGGTACTTTACAATGCTAGATACTTTCATGCTAGGTACTCTTATGCTAGGTACTCTATCATGCTAGGTACTCTACCATGCTAGGTACTCTACCATGCTAGGTATTCTACCATGCTAGGTGCTCTATCATGCTAGGTACTCTACCATGCTAGGTACTCTATCATGCTAGGTACTTTACAATGCTAGATACTTTCATGCTAGGTACTCTTATGCTAGGTACTCTACCATGCTAGGTACTCTATCATGCTAGGTACTCTACCATGTTAGGTACTCTACCATGCTAGGTACTCTACCATGCTAGGTACTCTATCATGCTAGGTGCTCTATCATGCTAGGTACTCTACCATGCTAGGTACTCTATCATGCTAGGTACTCTACAATGCTAGATACTTTCATGCTAGGTACTCTCATGCTAGGTACTCTACCATGCTAGGTACTCTATCATGCTAGGTACTCTAC